GTGAACGTACCGTTGTACGTTTCACTTGGGTGGTCACGGTACCCCCTACCGTGTTAACGATACATGGGTACAGTCGATAGGCAAGGAACGGTTGGCCCAACCCGTCCTATACAGTACCCCCTAGCGGTAGGCTGTACCGGGGTCACGGTACCCAGGTACCGGACGGTACTGACCCTACCGTGAAGGGTACCGTATCCGTTATCTAATTGCCAATTTAAATTCAAATCACCCCAAATCACTCCCTAACGGCATTTAACGTTAAAAACTCATATTTTAACCTTCCAAACTCCTATATAAACCCCCTCTAAGTCTCATTTTATATACAACAACTTCCCAATTAAATCTAAAGCCTCTTTCTCTATTCTTGAGTGTTCCTTAAAGCTTTGTTCTTATTTTTCTTACTCTTTTGAGTATAAAGCTTTCATTATTTTTATACACTCACACACAAGTGCATTTGTGATTCATTATTTTATATTTTGCCTATAGGCTTTTGTTGTTGTTGATTTAATCTTTTGTTCTTCTCCTACCCAATTCATATTTGTTACTCCGTATTATTTTGGTAGAGAAGCAACATCAATCTTTTATTGATTTGTAAAAGGTGTGGATAGCCTTTAAATCCTCATTGTAAGGTTGAAGATAACCTTAAAATCTTCGGTTGTAAACGGATGAGATAGCCGGAGTAAAATCTCATTTGCTTATTGGCAAGGGTTGTTTGCCAAACCTCGTTTGAGTTTTCTTAGTGAAGCCAAACAAGTTAGTGGAGGTTAAATCCTTGAGGAAGAGCCTCGAGGTACTGGAGTAGGGAGTTCCCGAACCAATATAAAATCGCTTGTGTCGTATTTTTATCTTTTATACTTTTCTTACTCCTTTTCCTCTATTACTTTGCGCATAAGTTTTTGTTTTTTACGAAAAACTTTCAAACACCGTAATTCACTCCCTCTTAGGGTGTAAACCGACTTTCAAATTGGAGATAGAATAATTAGTTTATTATCAAATTTCTAATCTGGAGATTTCCTTGAGTAGACTTTGGGGTTCCACCGTGCTTTGCGCTGTCTTTTCTGCATGATTCCCATCGCTTTCACTCTTGTAGTACGGAACAGAAATATTCTTCGTCCTCATTGTAGAAATCAAACTTTTCTTGAGATCTAGGACTTTGGGTGGAGTGGATTTCGTTCAACTCTTGGAGATGTCGAAGAGGTGGGAGAGATATCGAAAACTCAAAGGTCACAGGATGAAGAAGAGATGTTTTGGGAGGGTTTTGTGTAAACTCTTCTGACGTCGTCTCACTCATTCTTGATTTTTTTAAATTTAAACTTGAAACGGCATGTACACTCCGTTAAATGACTTCCTTTTTCGTTTTTTAAGAAGCGTGTCTTATTTACACGCTTAGACATTTTCGTCAATACACCTTTACTGGGTAGTCCAATAAATACAAAACGTTTACAGGGCATGTTGATTAATACTTCTGCTCGTCCCTCAACGCAAGACAATCTCGAAACTTCTTCTAAACTAAGACCCAGACTTGCTTATGGGCCTCTTACCCTGGATCCATTCTGAACGCCCACTGTGGGGGATTTTAATGGGCTCTTTATAAAAGTGCCCTAAAAAAAGGTTTCTCTTATAAAAATGTCCAAAAAAGGTTTCATATTATGAGACTACCCTCTATCTACCCTCACTGAAAAGCACGAAAAATTAGCATGTGAGATTCCCAAATTACCCCTATTCTTCGAAAGCTATTGTCGAAAGAATCTAATTACGTTCCACAGCCGTTTAACGATTTCCCCCCTTTTTTGACCCGCCCCGAAATTAACTATTTCAATTTTCCCCCTTTTTTGACCCGACCCGAAATTAACGATTTCATGCTTTTCAGCTCCTCAATCGTACGCACACTACACACTTGTTCAGCAAATCGGCAACCTAATTTGAAAGCACAACAAAATGATAAGATTTGGGAACGCGTTTAGAAGCTATTGCGTAGCGCTGAAGGAGGAAAAAGAGCAGAAAGAGATTACGGTAAACCCTAATTTTCGATACCCCAAAATTTGATTACAAACCCTAATTTTTTTTTACACTAAAGAGTTATGATTTTTTTTGTTTAGCTCTCCTAAACATCCTTTCTTCTTCGCTATTGCGTAGCGCAGAAGAAGGAAAAAAGAGCAAAAAGAGATTACGGCAAACCCTAATTTTCGATACCCAAAATTTGATTACAAACCCTAATTTTTCTTTACACTAAAGAGTTATGATTCTAATTGAGCCAATTGTGTTATGATTCTACATATCTTATGGTAAACCCTACATTTCTAAGATAGAAATCTACTCCGAAATAAACCTATTCGAACATAGTCTGCGAAACCATACGAACATTTACGAATATTCGACGTTATTTCGATTGGTCTCGACTATTCGACGTTCTTTCGATGTATTTCGACTACACTTAAATGTGATATTTTTTGTTGTTTATGTTTTTTCAATTGACAGATTCTGTTATATTATATGTTGTTTATGGTGGAAAGTGGACCACAGATCACGAAGGGAAGTATGTTTACAGTGGATCGGCCAAGAATATAACTTCGTTGTTTTGGGATGTTGCTAATTTGGACTTTGATGCCTTTTTGAAAGCCATTATTCAAAAGCTTGGTTGTGATATGAAAAATCAAAGGCCAAAAATTGCATTTCAAATTCAACGGCTTGAAAAAAAATATTCCACCCTTTTCCATCGATTCAAGTGAAACACTACATGTATTTCTTTTGGAATTAAAGCAAAACTTTACAGCCTTGCATGTTGAGATGGTTCCATTTGAACGTGAAGAAACAGAACAAGAAGAGCAAATACATGAAGTCCAAGAAGCAATTGACCCCTTCGTTCCCCTGATTGATTGCTTCCAAGATGACTTCTTCAATTGTATGATTGTTGCTGATCAAGAATCTGGGCGTGATCAAGACGGTTTCAGAAAAAATGCAGGGAGGTGTGATCAAAATCCTCAATTCGTTGAGTATAATGCCACCCCTGTGAAGAGCCCAGCAACTGCTCAAGTGGATGAAGATGATTATATTGGTGGTGATAATGATGAGTTAAATGAGGACGAGTGCTTTATTCGGAGGGACGATCCTTCTTTTGATACGTCTTTTGGTAATGAGGTAGACGCGACATTGGATGGTGGCTTTGAAGATGGGTCGGATTTGGCCATCGGACTTGAGTTTGCTGACAAAATAGAGTTGAAGAAGAAGATGGCTGATGTTTCCATACAAGGACATTTTGAAACAAAGACTGTGAAGAGCGACAAGAAGAGGTATGTGTTGAAATGCAAGAGTGACAAATGCTCTTGGATGATGATGGCATCCATCGTAAAAAACACATCTCGATTCGCTATTAAAAAATACAACGGGAGACATATTTGTACAGTTAGTGACCGTAGCCGAACACACAGCCAAACAACTTCGAGATATGTCTCAGATTTAATTTTAGAGAGTTTTGATGGGACGGATGATTTAATTAGGCCCAAAAATATCATGACTTTCATGAAAAACAAGAGCATGCCGATCANTATGTAATCATAGCATTTCATGCATGTATTTCTGGATTTCAAGCATTGAGGCATGTCATCGCCGTTGACGGAACATTTCTTAAGACATCCTATAAGGGTGTTTTACTCATTGCAACGGCTCAAGATGGTGACTTTCACCAATATCCCCTTGCCTGGGCTATTGTGGACTCTGAAAACAACGACTCATAATCTTGGTTTTTTGGCCATTTAAGGAAGTTAATTCCTGATTCTAGAGACTTGGTGTTCATTTCGGACAGACACATTAGCATTCGAAATGGGATAAGAAAGCACTATTCGGCTGCGGATCATGGATTGTGTAGGTATCACATCACTTGTAATTTGAGGAAGCATTATCCAAAGATGTGCAAAAAGGGGTTGGATACACTTTTTGAGAAACTTGCAAATGCATACACCAAACGGTCATTCAAGAGGTTGTATGGCGACTTGAAAGCAAGGTACCCAGCTGCTGGCAATTACATTGACAATATCCCAAAGAAAAGATGGGCCAGGGCGTATTTTGAAATAAACCGGTACCAAATAATGACGACAAATGGCGCCGAATCAATCAATAGCGTATTGAGGGTTTGATTAAGAATAACAATAAAAATAATAATAATAATAATAATAATAATAATAATAATAATAATAATAATAATAATAATAATAATAATAATAATAATAATAATAATAATAATAATAATAATAATAATAATAATAATAATAATAATAATAATGATAATAATAATAATAATAATAATAATAATAATAATAAGTAGTTGGGGAAATTCAAATATGGTTTGAAAGCATTTAAGAGGTATATGGTTTGAATGCATTTAGGACGGTACATGAGTAGTTGGGGAAATTCAAATATGGTTTGAAAGCATTTAAGAGGTTTTGAATGCATTTAGGACGTTTAATGAGTAGTTGGGAAAATACATTGCATTTAGGACGTTTTATATACTCCGTATATATTAGTACTATATATACTAGTGCAATTGCTTATCTTTATTCACAAAAACCCCTCTTAAAATGCCAAAAACCTTCGTCATATATCTAGAGGAAGAAGATAATGCTCGCAACAAATTTCTTGAAGATCACTTCCCATTGGTACTCCAATATACTTTAAGTCAACATAATATCAAAGGGAAGTGATCTTCAAGAAATTTCTTTCCGAGCATTCGCGTCATATTATGCTTTGAACTACGTATTCAACTCCCAAGCAGCTCAGGTCACTGATAAAGGTAAAGTCCATCAATGAGTCAAATTCTATTTGGTAGTGGTCTAATAAAATGTAACATATGAATTTATTGTTTTGAAACACTATTTAATGATTTGTAATAAAAAAAAGTGCATGAAAATGATTTGTAAGTGCCAATAACTTGTTCTAAAAAAGCCTAAGTAATGATTTGTAAAAAATTACCCTATGATTTGTAAAAAGTTACCTTAAATATTCAACTTATATCCAAAAATTTATTGTTTTGAAAGACCTTTTAATTTTTTGTAATAAAAAAATAAATGAAAAGATCTATTTGGAATGGGTAGAAATTGCGTGAAACGCCAACTCAATCTAAAAATTGCGAGTGGTCGAATATGGTCACAAAGGTCAAATAGGTCGAATTATCCAATAAGAAAAAGTAAAAAGCCTAAGAACTTAACCGAAAAAAGAGTTGTACAAACACATTAAATCCCCAGGGACGCATACCTGGAAAAGATCAGATAATGATAATGTTCATTAAATAACAATCAATTAATTTTTTGTTTACCGTCTGTGATGACGGTAAACTCCCACCATAAAGGTGTTGTTCCCCACCGGCCTCATCACAAGCTTGTCCCCAATACGCAAACCATTCGAATCAACAAAGTAATGCCACATTCTCTTCAGGAACCCATCACCAAAACAATCAACCTTGAGTGTGCAGACCACGGGCTGCATGTTGGGTCCTATGAGAGTGACATCTGTTTTTCCCTCTACAAAGCCATTTGCTTCGCAAAATTCGTCACTTAAGGGCTGAGACAATAACGGATTAAAAGTCATTAATTGTAGGTTGAGAATACACCATGTATTCCAAACAAAAATTTCGTGTTTGGTCAAATTTGGTCAAACTAGTCAAATACGTCGAATTGGGTCGAATTTGGTCAAAAAGGTCAAAAAGATCAGATAATGATATTGTTCATTAAAAATGATATTTTAAAAGCATACCAGCTTCTCGGATGACTCCCGAAAGTGCGATTCTTCCAACTTGCAAACAAAGACGTCATCATCATCATCTGTAACATCATCTGCATCTGATAATTGGATACATTACAGTTAGAATTAGAAAGAATTCGGGGAGGGCAGGTAAAATATACCATATTTCAAAGTCTTACCAGAATCATAATCAGGAATTCTTATTGGGTAGTCAACTTCTGAACCAAGGGTCGAAATCACAATGGCTTGGTATGCTGCCTCTGATAATTTTTTGAACAGAATATGCCAAAGATTTTGGCAGTGGTGGTCATAGAGAAAGTATCTCCATCCATTCTCGGCAGCGATTCGATGCTTGCCGTCATCTCCAAGAACAACTCGGACTGGATATCACCCAATCCGAGTATATATATCCAATCTCTCCTCCCGTGGATGATAGCGAGAAGGAATGACCTGTAAATCATGAAATCGAGATTAAAGCCAAGCATGCATGTGTTAGTCATATGCATTCAAATGAAATCTTACCGTGCCGGTATAAGCATCCCTTTTGATGACCACAACGAAATCTGATTGCGGAATTTTTATTCCCAGCAGCGTTGGAGAGTGTTCGTGAGGGTATAAAGAGAGGGAGTCGCAGTCGAAGCGTTGGAAGCGGTGGAAGCGGCGGAAGCGAAGCGACGAGAAAAGATGATGAAGAAGAAGAAGAAGAAGAAGAAGAAGAAGAAGAAGATAAAGGTTGGAATTTATGTGAAATTTTGACTTTTCAATACTCATCTGACATAAATTGGCATGGGACCCAAATAAAATTATTCCGTACAAAATTTCGTCTATATTTGACAAAATTTTGTCCAATTTTGTCTTTGTCGTATCTCTAATTTTGTACATTTTGGAGAAATACGGAACCGTATTACATTCCCAATGTTGACTGTAATTTGGACAAGTAGGACCACCCACTTACTCCCAACAATATTGTAGTGGAAAAGTACTCTTATGGGGGGGACCTTGTTTCTAGATTTTTTCTATTTTTTTATTTTTAGATTTTATTTCAAAATTTTATTTTAATATTTCGAGATACTATCCTTTTTTGAATTTTTTTATAATACCTTTATAATTGTTACAACTACCTCTATAATTATTCCGACTATAATTGTTACTCCTATAGTTAAATCTCAATACCAACAGGTAAAGACTATCGCTACCGTTATTCTCTTAACTGGACTCCTACAGTTATCCTCTTAAGTTATTTCGAGATATTATTATTTTTTGAATTTTTTTATAATAAATTTATAATTGTTACAACTACCTCTATAATTATTCCGATTATAATTGTTACAGGTAAAGACTACCGCTACCGTTATCCTCTTAACTGGACTCTTACATCCACTACGGTCCGAACTTAGTTGTTAACACAAACCGGTAAAAGACTACCGCTAAAGTTGTCCTCTTAACTGGACTCCTACATCCACTACGGTCCGAACTTAGTTGTTAACACAAACAGGTAAAGACTACCGCTACCGTTATCCTCTTAACTGGACTCCTACATCCACTACGGTCCGAACTTAGTTGTTAACACAAACCGGTAAAGACTACTGCTAAAGTTGTCCTCTTAACTGGACTCTTACATCCACTACGGTCCGAACTTAGTTGTTAACACAAACAGATAAAGACTACCGCTACCGTTATCCTCTTAACTGGACTCTTACATCCACTACGGTCCGAACCTAGATGTTAACACAAACTGGTAAAGACTACCGCTAAAGTGTTCCTCTTAACTGGACTGCTACATCCACTACGGTCCGAACTTAGTTGTTAACACAAACAGGTACGAATGTAATACAGTTATCCTCTCAAATGGACTCCTACATCAACTACGGTCCGAACTTAGTTGTTAACACAAACAAGTAAAGACTACTGCTATAGGGGGTACATCTTAACTGGACTCCTACAGTTATCCTCTTAACTGGACTGCTACATCCACTATGGTCCGAGCTTAGTTGTTAACAAAAACAGGTAAAGACTACCGCTAAAGTTGTCCTCTTAACTGGACTCTTACATCCACTACGGTCCGAACTTAGTTGTTAACACAAACAGGTAAAGACTACCGCTACCGTTATCCTCTTAACTGGACTCTTACATCCACTACGGTCCGAACCTAGATGTTAACACAAACCGGTAAAGACTACCGCTAAAGTTGTCCTCTTAACTGGACTGCTACACCCACTATGCTTCGAACCTAGATGTTAACACCAACAGGGACGACCTTGCTACAGTTATCCTCTTAACTGGACTGCTACATCCATTATGCTCCGTATTTAAAAAGATCTTTTAACAATTTTATTAACATAGATATCATCATTGTAAAATATTTTGTATAAAACATTTGTTTTAAATAAATATACTAATATATATTGCACCAATTTAAAACATATTTTGCTTACACAATTAAATTATATATATAAAATATTTTGTAACTTTATCAATACTTTGAAAAACAAAGTTTAATTTATACTCCGAATTATTTTTAAAAACGATAAATCATTTCTCTTTTACTTTTTTTGAAAGAAAATACTTATAGAATGTTTAGTGCATATGCATCTATATTTAAATTATATTATTTGAAAAAAAATATATCTTAGGGTTAAAAAAATATTTGAAAAAAAATATATCTTAGGGATAAATTATACGGAGTATTATTTTTAAAAAAATATATCTGAAATGTCGGACTAAATTTTCCCGTCCCGCCTATACATAAAATGGCGGACTAATTTCACATCCCTCCTTGAAATGTCGGACTAAATTTTCCCGTCCCGCCTATTCATGAAATGGCGGGACTCTTCTAAAAATTCCCGTCTATTACCATTTTCATCCCTTTCCGCCTTGCCCGGCCTATATAAATACGCAACTATGTTTAGGGTTTTTCCAATCTTCTTTTCCTTATTGCCTGCGAAAACAAAAAAGATCATTATGTTCGATTTTACAGTAATCCTCAAGGATGATCCCAAGTTCAAAGAGCGATTGGTTTGTTTATTATATTTTCTTAATTTTTTTTAAAGTTATATTTTATAACTCACAAATTCATTGGATCTGATGTAGGCACTACCCCGACATGTTCAATTTTGTTTCTCGGATAACACAGTTGTGACTCTCCATTCCAAACTAGCGCCACACACTTTTGCAGTAAAGGTTCAAGCATGCAGCCATGGCAATATGTTCTTCAGGGAATCATGGCCAGCGTTTGTTGAGAGTCATGGCCTAAATGAGAGTCATGTCCTGTTTTTTCAAAATTTAGGTGATTGTGATTTTCTCATCCATATCCTGAAATACGCATAAGGGTATTTTCATGCGTATTTGAAGTTTGATTTTATGTATTTTTAAATAAAAACTTTTTATATTGAATATCATAATTTCATTGGTATTCCTCCTCCTCTGTTGAATTATCATAATTTCCTCTCATTGCTCTTTGAATTATAAACTTCCATTAGTCATTGAAAGTAACGTAATTTATAAAACAAGAATTCTTTTTTAGTGCGTAATAGTACCATTCGAATTGTGGTCAAATACTCATCGAGAAGGTCGAATTAAAAACAATTATAAAAACAGAATTTATTAACTACGAATTTTGAATTATTATTTTTATCCTTAACGAGAGAAATAAAAGCTGATTTGACCGCTCTTCATCTACCCGAATTGAATGCAAACCTCTCACATATCTTCTTCCATTTTATTTATTAACTAATTACTGTGAAAAGTCCATCCGAAATGTGGTCAAATATTAGTCGGGACAGTCGAAGTCATTCATTTTGGATATTTGTTGATCTCAGTTGTCCTCTCTATTATTATTATTATTATTATTATTATTATTATTATTATTATTATTATTATTATTATTATTATTATTATTATTATAATAATAAAACAAGAATTCTTTTTTAGTGCGTAATAGTACCATTCGAATTGTGGTCAAATACTCATCGAGAAGGTCGAATTAAAAACAGTTATAAAAACAGAATTTATTAACTACGAATTTTGAATTATTATTTTTATCCTTAACGAGAGAAATAAAAGTTGATTTGACCGCTCTTCATCTACCCGAATTGAATGCAAACCTCTCACATATCTTCTTCCATTTTATTTATTAACTAATTACTGCGAAAAGTCCATCCGAAATGTGGTCAAATATTAGTCGGGACAGTCGAAGTCATTCATTTTGGATATTTGTTGATCTCAGTTGTCCTCTCTATTATTATTATTATTATTATTATTATTATTATTATTATTATTATTATTATTATTATTATTATCATCATTGTCATTATCATCATCATCATTATTATTAATGGACGAAATTACATCTCATTTAACTTACTGAAATCTTAGAAATTAACGAGAGTAATAAAAGCTGATTTGACCGCTCTTCATCTACCCTAATTGAATGCAAACCGGTCACACATATCTTCTTCCATTTTATTTATTAGCTAATTACTGCGAAAAGTCCATCCGAAATGTGGTCAAATATTAGTCGGGACAGTCGAAGTCATTCATTTTGGATATTTGTTGATCTCAACGGCCCTCTCTATTATTATTATTATTATTATCATTGTCATTATCATCATCATCATTATTATAAATGGACGAAATTACATCTCATTTAACTTCCTGAAATCTTAGAAATTAACGAGAGTAATAAAAGCTGATTTGACCGCTCTTCATCTACCCGAATTGAATGCAAACCGCTCACACTTATCCTCATTCATGTATTTAATAACTCCGTACTAATTAGGGTGTAAAAGTCCCTTCGTTTTCATTCAAATTCGCCCCCCCTCCCTATAAATACATTGCACCCTCTCCAGATTTTAAACACACTTTCTTCAATGTATTCCATATTTTACAAGCCTATTTCTTTACAATCATCAAAACTTCTCACTTCTCTTTCGTAATGGTTTTACTCAATTTTGTAAAACGGTCCTAATGGTTATCTCGATAAGGCAAAACGGTCATAATGGTTATCTCGTATACCATTATCCGTTTTATCTCGTGTTTTCCACAAGGAAACAACCCATCTTTACTACTGCAACATTGATTCAAACGAAGAGTACGTAATTCCTGCTAGCAGTGTAGCAGCTTGTGTAGAGACCGGGGAAGAGATAAAAAAGAAACTACTCAAGTATCGATCCGAGCTAATTTCATTGAATTATTGAATTTTATGTAATTTTAGTTATTCGTCTTTACATGCAACTCCATTCAAAGGGGCTGCAATCATGTGATCCATGTAATAAGGATAATAAAGTCCATCCGAAATGTGGTCAAATATTAGTCGGGACAGTCGAAGTCATTCATTTTGGATATTTGTTGATCTCAACGGCCCTCTCTATTATTATTATTATTATTATTATAATTATTATTATCATTGTCATTATCATCATCATCATTATTATTAATGGACGAAATTACATCTCATTTAACTTCCTGAAATCTTAGAAATTAACGAGAGTAATAAAAGCTGATTTGACCGCTCTTCATCTACCCGAATTGAATGCAAACCGCTCACACATATCTTCTTCCATTTTATTTATTAACTAATTACTGCGAAAAGTCCATCCGAAATGTGGTCAAATATTAGTCGGGAGAGTCGAAGTCATTCATTTTAGTTACTCGTGTTTACATGCAACTCCATGCAATTCCATGCAATCATATGTATCCACCACATAATTAATAATACTGTTAATAATATATGCTATTCCATGAAATCATATGCATCCAGTACAATTTTATTAATATTATATTTATCCACCACAGGATTTATTTTTTGTTTCTACAATGGTACTCCTTGCATATGTAGTAAGCAATTTCTAAACGCATGTTGGCCATCTTTTCTTTTGTCATATTCTCCAAAGATTTAAAATCCTGATGTTGTGCTCCCAACTCTAACATTTTTACCGCGAAGATGCCGCAGTCACAATCAATCTGTTGGGGTACTGTGCAGTATTCGATTTCCCAATCGGCATATCCATGCTTGCCGATTTCTCTAATTCCAGCAATGCCTTTAAACCCTCTAAGATCATCCTGCAGCAAACTAGCCATCCTCTCAATTGAAGTTATCCTCCTAAGGGAGTCAAGCACGACGAGGCGGCACCTCTCAAAGTCAGCCTTGATACAGAACCAATGTGAACCCGTGCCTTTCAAATAATATACGTACTTAGTGTTCTTTTTCCAGGCTTTGGTTTTAAATGCTTCCGGCCCCTCGCTGTATGTACCATCCACAATCTTTTCAAGGGATCCAGACAAAACAGGCCAATCTGGGTCATGCGCATAAGAGTTCACGTAATTGTTGAATTCAAAAGGCGCAATGCATGAGTCTCCATCGTCATTGCATAAACGTCTTCTCAGGACATAAAGGTACTCACTCAGATGCTAGTTAACAAACAAAAGTAATATGTTATTAGAAAACGAAAGATATAAGCATTGTTTGTGTACGAAGAATGAAAGGTTAATGCAACTTACAGTATCCGCTACAAAAAAATCTGGAGTGATAAGGTCAGTCCAGAACGTTTTCACAAAAGCCTGAATCTCCTTGTATTGGGCGAGGTAGCATTGTACAGGGCGGTCATCTTTAATTGCTTTTACGATGAAGCTCTTAAATTCCAAAAGATCTGCTTTAGTTGGCGGCTTAGATAAGAGCTCATCGGCTTTCTTTTTTTTCCTCCCGTCCGCTGTATAAGGAGACTTCAAACTGGCTGACTTCTTTTTCACTCTCTAAAATAAAAAAATAAGTGAATTATTTCGGAATCTTAGACCACAATAAAAAAGCACTTGAAGTAAGAAACCAAACCTTTCCATACACAAAGCCATCAGTAATTTCAGCCTCTTCTCCCAATTCCTTCGGGGGAGAAACAGCCTACAGTTAAATAGAGTGTAAATAAACATGATCTAAATACTTCGAAGAACAAGACTGCATTTCAAATGCAAAGAATCCAGAATTTACCTTGTCCTGCTGAGTTTTCATAGAAGTAGCAGCGTCTGTTTCCATGACCTCATGGCTAGGCTCAACCTACAGAGAATTCGAATACATCTGAAAACTTCGACTGTATTTCGCAGGAACTTGTTGGAAGATTTTTAATTTTACCCTTTCCTGCAGAGGCTTCATTGAGGCAGCATCTTCTATTCCCATTGTCTCGTGGGTAGACTCAGCCTGCAGAGGTTTCATAGAAGCAGCAGCAGCGTCTGTTTCCATTACCTCATGGCAAGACTCAACCTGCAAAAAATTCGAATACATTTGAACACTATGACTATACTTCGAAGGCACTTGTAGTAAGATTTATTATTTTACCATTTCATGCAGAGGCTTCATTGAGGTAGCATCTTCTGTTCCCATTGTCTCGTGGGTAGACTCAGCCTGCAGACAAGAACAAAAAATATGAATCTATTTTCGGAAGGCAAATGCATTGTAAGTTAAGATTAGAACTTTACCTTTCTGTTCTCCAAACTAAGAACAGAATCAGAAAGAGTTGAAGGTTGATTCTCGTGCTCTTGTTTAATTTCCCCAACAATTTGGAGAATACCAAGTCTTAGAGAAACCTATAGAGTATGAAGTATGAAAATGATGAGAAAGAAGAATGAACTGATATTATTATTTCATTTAACATATGCAAACAAATGTAAAACTGAACAAAACGTTTCGACTACATTCGAGGTATTCGACTATACTTCGACGTACCTCCTGCGGATTCTTGGTTGGTTCTTCTCCTGATTCAGTTACATTCACCTTCATATTTTTACATAAGAATAGATCAGTTCTGATCAATTAAAATTATTGGATGACTTTCAAAAGCTTTCATCATACCTCATTCACAATCTTTTGATTTATTAAAGTTGACAAAGCATCAACTTTTTTTCAAGCACTTCAAACCTCTTTCTTTGTTCTTCTGCAATGTTATCAATTTTCTTTGACATTCGATCAAAGAGTTCTTGAAAGGTATTGGATGAAGGCTTGGCGGGGTGAGGGTCAGGAGACGATGGATTTAGGATGTTGGAATGAGAGACTCTAGAAGGAGATTCCCTAAGGCTCTGACTCCTCTGAGATTCTTGGGGAGAGGAGATGTGCTCATTACGCTCTTCAGAATTATCTCTTGTTGGTGAAGGGACATTCCGGGCTTTTCTCTTCCTCTCCACCAGAATGTGGACTTCCCCTCTACACTCTAATTTTGCCACAAATGCATCCAACTCGGGGTGTTTTGTGGTCTCTAGAGGCTGGAAGTTCAAATACCACTCTGCAGTTGCCTCAAACTTGTCGGGAACAAGAATGCTCTTTAGAGACTGCAACCAAAACAATGACACTTTATTTTTGGAATTCATTAAATTTTAATCTTTTATTGACCAATAATATGTATATACCTGCACGTCTTCAACGTAAGCATCCATTTCTGTGTGGGTGATTTTCTTCTTTATTGGAATCTCACCCCAAAGGCAGATTCTTGGCCTAGCTGGGGATGTCTGTGGACTTCTTGTTGTAATATTTGCTCCAGTCCCCAAGCAACTCTCCAGAAAAAGGATCTTTTCATATGAAAAATTTCAATAAGATCACATTTCAATAAAAATTATAAGAAATATTATAATTGAAAAAATCCTTACCCCAATGGGAAGCAAGAAACCAGTATAGTACATGGTTGATGAGGCCCCTCTTCCAATTGATTTGGCCTTAGCAGCTAGGTCTTTCCTCAGTGACCCCAAGGACTCCATAAATGCCCAGGTTCCCCATGGGAAACCTAAAACTGCTGTCCACTGTGCAATCATGCCCAGAATCCAATCTGGAATTGCAGACTTGTCTCGATCAGCAGGACCCAAGAGAACAACAACAACAAACAAAAGTGCTGCCATTTTCACAGAAACCATCTCCTGGCCTTCTTTCTTCTTTTCCATGTCCAGTCCTTTACAAATTTCCAAGAAACGCTTCACAACCATCTTGTATGTGACTGCAGCAGATTTCTTTCCCTTCTTTGCTGAAGGAAAGTGAGCACGAATGAAATCATTCTTTGCAGAGGTTAATTCCTTGGAATTTTCAAAGCCGGCGTTAAGGGGAGAGCAGTTGAGGCCGCTAATGAGTGAAAACTCCCTCAAGGAGTACCTGACAGGAACTCCTTTGAAAACGAACCACATCTCTCCTTTCCTCTTTATGTTGGCTTCCCTCGCAATGAGTTGCCATAGGAACAGAGGAGGAGGAATACACTCAACATCCAAAAAATGAGAAAAAGGGGTGNTTATATTTTAGTGTACATGCAATGCACCTCAATTTCCGCAGCATCCAGGAACGATTGACCATCCACAGATGGAGTTACCTCAGCAGAAATCTGACACCAATCCCAAATATTTCAACAGGTAAACAAAAATTGGTTAATTTTAAGTAAGAATTATTTGAAAATACCTGGTTTTCATTCTCCATCTCCTCCCTTTGTGTTTGGGTTAGAATTCTTCTTCTCTTGTACTGGAACCCGCTACTTGCTCTGGTGTTCTCCATGGCAAAGAGATGTGTGGTAGTTCTTGAAGGTATCCGACGACAGTAAGCAATGTAGAACGAAGAGCAGAAGAGTTTCGATTGATGAAGGCGTATCGTTTCCGAAGCCTGGTCGGGGGATTAAGGAGGGGTTGGTGCTTCAAACGACGCCGTTTGACCTTTCTAAAAATCATCTTGACGCTTCGAAGGCAACCTAACGGCTCGTCGTTAATTTTAATATTTCCGTTTAATTTTTGAAGTAACGGGAATAAACAGTGACGTTTTGTTGACGTTTTGTTTCTTGGTTGGAAGGGCCTTTCTGTCATTTCCCCTCATTTTACGCAAGTAGAGAGGACGCGCCTCACGCCAATATCTGTTAGATCTAGGAGGGCATTCTCATAAATTCCAACCTTTTTCTGCCCTTTTCCATAAATATTCCGGAGTTTAATCTCCATAAGTGATGTTATAAATGATTTCATTACACACCCACTTAGTTTGACCACATAATACAATCTTTTTTTTTTTTTGTGTTTTTCTAATTAAGAGCTTTTGCTTCTTACTCCGTATTTAATTAGGCCAAACAAGTGCTTGCTTCTATACTAGCTATCAATGCTTTTCTCGCCGTAACTACAAACTATAACACTATGTTTGGTTTTGAAAAAGAAAAAAAAAGAAAATGAGATGGAATATAAATTTTCTTGTTTGGTTGGAGAGGAAAAGAAAAGAAGAGTGGAAGGAAAAGAAAAAAAGAAGGCAAATTGTACTAAGAAGAAAGAAAACAAAATTTCTTCCATTCTGGTGAGAAAAAGGAGAGAAATCATTTTCTTTTTCTTTTTCTTCTAAATTCCTTGAACCAAACATAGTGTATAAGTTCTTAGAAAGAAAACAACACGAGCTTGAAAAAAGGAAGATTGCATCCAGCCATTCTTCTTCTTCTTCTTTACATGGTCTCAATTCCACCACAATCAGCATACATATTTTCAGAGAGCATTGGATAAGAATGATGGAGTCCATCATCTAATGAATTGACTACACCTACTTGCCTTTTTGCAAGAAAAGAAAAAAAGAGGTATAAGGAGGGAAGGATCAAAACCTGAAAGGTTCTGCAAAGTTCATTCACCGTTGCATAACCAAAAACCAGACATTTTAAACACACAAACATAGAAGTATTTGTCGTTATGACATGCCACACCGCCATGCACATAGTTACATGTAATTTCAATACAAAACCTCATTGCCATTTTGATTGTCTTGTGAGGACATAAAAAGGAAATACAACATGAAATAGAAGAACAAAATGAACATTTAGTTGCAAATGTAAGTCCCAGCTGCATATTTGTGATAACCCTCATAAAAGTCTCTCTTACCCTCAACAGCAGGCAGCAAGGAGATGCCAGACAATGATCTAGTTCCTTGAGCAGAAAACTTTACATACCCTACAACCTCAAGTTCATCAATACTACTTTCATCACTTGCATCCACGGGAAACCTAGCCCTTAACCTACCAGGTTTACCCTTTGGTGGGATCTCTTCTATAAGCCATTTTAGTTCTTTCTCGGACCTGTTCAGTACAGCTTTTGGGGAAACCTTTACCAAGGACGGATCCACAGGAAGTTTCAGAACAAAAGTGACATTAGTTAATGGAGCGGGCAGATCAGGATTTGGTGCATATTGCAGCATGACGGAGAATAATGTGCCACTGAGGCTCTGAACAAGCCGAACCCGCAATGGCAAAGTAGTTAAGCGTGGTAGTAAGCTGTACTTTATAATTGGAATAGGTTCCTTTGAAGGGGCAGTCTTCAAGTGAAAAATCCCATTCCCAAGACAGCTGACAAGAGAATTTTGCATAACAAGTCTCTTAATTCCAGAAGTCCCATCAACCTTGAAAGAGAATTCAGTTTCCTTGTCACCATTAGGATTTGGAGGCATCGTCATCAAGTAGATTGTGCCCATCATTCCAACTCTAGAAAGCAAGGACTCCCTGAATTCGGCACTGATGATTTCTGAAATGTATAGCTCTGGTCCCTTCATCTTATTCACCAAAACATCCTCAAGATTCTTGGGAGCAGCACTCTCCTCTGCAGCTTCAGTTTTAGGTGGCTCACTAGTTTCCAAAAACTCGAGGCCACCAAGCCCTTCATCTTTCTTAACTTTTTTGGTTCCTAGATACTCTGAAGCATCCAATCCTCCACCCCATGAAACATTGATCCCTTCAAAATCCTCCCGAAGTGTTGATCCGTCAGTACTAAATTCTATCCCACCATAATCCCCTTCAAACCCTTCGACACCAATGTGTGTGGACTGACTGGCTGCAGCAGGTGGCAATGTACTTACCTCGAGCCCAGCTAAAGCTTTGCTTATATCAGAGCTTTCCTTATCCTTGTCCCTCTTAAACTCTGCCACCAATGACTCCGGCTTGTTTAACCTGTCACTAGCCGCAAATGGATCCTTCTCCTCACTGTCTTCCACTTTGTCCTTCTCCTCCTTCTCCGTACCTGTGATCACCAATGTGGCTGCAACTTCATCACCAGCCTGCAGCGTCTCTGGAGGCAACTCAAATGATGTTTTGAAAAATGATTCTACACCGGTTCTATGTTCCACAGACTGAGCTTCCAAACTCCCCCAAGTCTCAGCCCCCCGGATCTTATTCTCTGTATTGGCAGCAGAATGCACCATTTTGGCAATGCTCTCGCCATGCATCGAGGCCAGCATTGCTGCAAGTCTGATGCTACTAACCCCTCTCAGAACTATATCCAAAGCCATGTAGATTTCAGCATATTTCTTACTAAGCTTTTCAGGGGTCACATCCACACCCCTACAAGCTGTAACTACGACAGAAACTGCTTGATTTACCATGGTAATGCACTCAAACACATTATTCACAATTCGATCTTTAACATTTTCATCAGCAGTGGTGATCGCAAGAACATAAATTGAATTAACAAGTCGGTAAACAACACGATATCGGGACTCCATGCCAACAATAACCTGACCTGAAGAAGCAGCTAGAGGATCATCTCCTAGGGCATCCGAGGGTGTGGGGTCCGATGAGGACAGGACGGCAGCCGATTGAGCTTGTTTGGAGAAGGCCAGACGGGTCTGCCGAAAGGCGGAGAGAGCCATTAGGGCCCGAGATGGAGGAAACCATTCTCGTGTCTGAAGAAGAACGTCAGGTCCGTTGGTGGGTTGCAGTGAAAGGGCTAAACACGACATTAGGGTTTGATAGGGTGTGATCTGATTCAGATCTATAGATCGATTTCAGGTTTTAAACTCCAACAGATCTGAATGAACGCATCTGTTTACGCCGGTGCGATGACCAAAAGAGACAGATGACGGAGTACTTCCTCGCCAAATATATTTTTGCTGGAGCTTTTCTCAGATGCCCAAGCAAATGAGATGGCACTCTCTAGTTTTTTCTGTTAGTTCTTATCTTCCCTTAATTCCACTTTTTTACACTCAAAATTAATAAACTTTCCTCATAAACTAAATATTTTTATTAGATTCATCTTGTATGATATTTTCAAAATATTCTTTTAATTTAATTAATACTTCGTATATCATATAATTTTTATTTAATTATAAGCCAAATGTCAAAATGAAACAAATTAAACACTCTAGGGTGGGGGGAGTAGAATATTATTTTAGCATGTTTTCGAACATAATTAGTACAACATCTAACATAGGGTCTGTTTGGGAATATCATTAGCGATTAGCGTTAGCGTTTTGGATAAAATTTTAACGGTGCAGATTAATTTGAAAACGCTAACACTAAACGCTGCCCGTAGATAGCCTTTTGAAAACGCTAACGCTAATCGCTAAAGCTATTCCCAAACAGGTCCATAATTAAAATGAAATATCTAAAAGTTATCAACTTTGTAACATAAGATCCATATATTTCAATGATTATTAATTGTAATTTGTAAATGACTTTATTAGTGTATTATACTCCGTATATTGATAAATTAATTACTCCGGTAATAATCTTATACTAGTACATCACCCGTGCGATGCACGGAAAGAAAAAGCTTATCATAATTGTAAAAATACATGAAAATTTTGTAATTGGATATTATTTAATAAATAGTAGATATGTTCATCTTTCGCTTATATATATATTTTATTATTCATTCATTTTAAATAGATCTACTAACATAAAGAGTGAGTTTTAAATTATAACATATTCAATACATAATATTCGAATGGAGTAAAGTAAACTGTGTCTGTTGAAATCAATCATATAGATTCTCAATAACCTCCTTATAAACTACATTCATTGTAGTATTAGACGGAGTATTTTCAAAATTACATATCATTATTTTTAATCCCTCGCGAGACCATACCCTAGACATGGCTACATAGAGTTGTCCGTGACTGAAAACATGTTTTTTTCAAAAATAGACCAACATGTGAGAGAGATTGTCCATGACTCTTGTCCACATTATGATCTCTGATAAAGTCAATGAAACTCATGGTATCAATATCGTTTGTCCTGTTTTTTTCCCATGAATCATATTTGCTTCAAAGAGACGATTACCAAGTCTTGTAACAATTAGACGTGTTCCATTGCACAGATCATTAAAATGATCAATGTTACGCACAAGCATTATCGGAGTCCTAACTTTAAGTGTTAGTTTGTGGTTCAGAATTTTTGAAGATCTAATCAAGTTCAAATACTCTGTGGTGTGTAAGTCACCAACTAAAGAAGCATTCATATATGACTGGCAAGCACTATCGGCACTCAAGTAGACTTTCTCATCCCTTCATTCATGATAATCATGTATTGATTTATCGATTCAATGACTTCAAGTGTTGGCGCTAGAATTACTCTTTCTTGTAGTATATATCTTCACCAAAATTTGTTGCAAATGCAGGGTAAATAGTTTCCACGATTTTTCCAATAGGATTATTTCCGGACTCAACCAATAGATTTGATGGAATTTCCATGTCTGCACAACCATCATTTGGCTCAACCATCTAAACAAAGAAATATATATTTACGAATATATAGAATATGTTTTGAAAAAGACTAAAGTAGGAGTAAAACATTGAAAATATACTAAAATAGAACGTTCATATTTTTATTTCCGAAAAAGAAGTTAAAATGCATTTACATTACCAAACATGGAGAAGTACATTACAAAAAAGTATAGTAATTTGTACATGTACAATGCCACATTACAACCACATTATCACAGTGCGAAGTCTTATTTCGATAATAAAAACATGAAACTCCTATTTTGGTACTTGTATCTATATTTTAGTCCTATTTAAGGTGATTTCTATTCAATATAATACTTTCTCCGTCTCTAAGTATTTGTCTACTTTTGACTTTTCCGGTCAAAATTGGTAAACTTTGACTTCAAATTAAACTATCATGATATTAGATATTGATACAAAAAGAGTTTTATTAGAATTATTATATCAAATGTTTTCAAAATATTATTCTATCTAATTAAAATACAATATATATTTTATTTAATTATAGGTTTGATGGTGTAAATTACTTGACCGGTCAAACTACACTAGACCGAGTCTAGAATAGTCTGCTTGATTTGGTAAAGTAAAGAAAGTAAAAACACTCAGATTGACCGGTAGGACTTTAGGTGAAACACCTGTAGCCCAAGTTATATTATAACAGAGAATGCACGGTTACTTTTACAAGGGAGTTTAGAGAGAATGAATTCGGATCCCTCTTTCTGAGGTTTACAGCAGTATATATACTAGGCTAAGGGGGACAAGGCCACGTGCACCCACGTGGAGGCACGTGTCTCGGATGGTGAGAGGTGATGGGCCTCGTCCTCTAGCTATCTTGTCACCTTGCGAGGGGGATTACATCCTTTGTCAGGTAGTGCCTTGGATAGATTCCTCCAGCATCTCCAGCAATCTTCCACTGATCTTGGTTGCTACGGTCCAAACCACTTTAGATTCTCTTCTGCCGACGCTTCCCAAACCCCAGAAATTATACCGGGTAATTTCTGAGAGATGAGTTCATTGAAATTAGGGAACGAATAGAGTGATAAAGTAGTTTGACCGGTATACTTTTCCCCGAAGTACACCGGTCATACTTGGACCGATCAAATATTGGTTTGCCGACGATTAAAGTCCCCTTCCTGAACTATCAAGATTGACCGGTCAACTTATTTGGTCTTCCACGTTGACCGGTCATGGGTGAAATACACCCATCAAGGTCAAATTTTGAAAACAATTAACCGAAAAAATCAAAACTCGACAAATAATCAGGAACGGAGGTAGTATGAAATATCGTCCAATTCTACTCAATTTTTTTTTAAACTGCTAAGCCCATTTATGATGCATTTAGGCCCAGTCTAAATGTTCTAACATATTATACTACACCTTACCTTGCTTCTATCGTCATTACGCCGCTTCATTTGTGACCATATGTTCCGTATCCTTCTCTCATGTATTTTTCATCGCCACAAACCTAATCCTTTTACCACCTAAGAATTCGATGGTGTTGAAATGCTCTGTACATAAATCCAACTTCTTCGGCCGTTGTTCTTCTATCAATTTGATGGTTGTTCTTGTATGAATTGTTTGATTTTTGTTATTTTTTTTTAGGTTCTTACACAGTTCATGGATCCTATCCCATCCATTTCTTCGACACAAAGGATGTATTTTCATGTGTAAGATAGAACGGTCTCTGATGATAGACCATTTCTTCGACACAAGGTATTGTCTTTTTTTATTTCAAATATATATATATATATATATATATATATATATATATACTCCGTATATATATATATATATATATATATATATATATATATATATATATATGTCAATATGGAAGGATTTTTCAATTTTTTAAACTTCAGATGTAAATCTGAACATTCCACTTCGTAGAGAGGGGCTTTTCGAAGAAATATTTTCTGTTTTTTTATATCATTGTTGGTAGTAAATGTGATTATTCAACATCAGATCTTGGGTTCTATTTTCCCCCTATTTCATGATTTTTTTAACACAACAAATTTTTATCTCTGAGAATTTTAGCACCTGATTTTTATTTAATTTCTCTATATTCTGCTACTTCAAAATTTATCCATTCTTTTTATATTTGAAAAATATTATTCTGGAATTTAAGAAACCCTTCCTAATAAAATCACACCCATACTTGCAAACTGCTCTTACATTCAACTTTCATAATTTTATTAAATGTTATAAGTAACCAAATATTACTTCTATACATGACAACCTGGGATCTAAACTGGTCCTTTCCAAAAAAAATGTTTTTAGGAATTGGATTTCATCATTATATGTTTAGCTTGATATGAATGGTTCAAAGTTAGATATGTACCCTAAACAATATACTTTTATTTGTTCCAGGAGCTATTTTAATGAAATAAATACTAAGCTAACAGTGAGTTATTTCATATACACTGAATATATCTTTATTATAAATATAATCTGTTCCAAACCAAAACATATTCTATTCAAAGCACTGACTTTTTTTATTTTTATTTCAGGTTTAATCCCTTTTTAAGAAATAGCTTTTGATTAAAGTAAGTATAAATATAAATTAGTATGTCTAATTTGAAAAGAATATCAAAACTAAATAAGGCTTGTTATTTGATAGAACTGCCGGATTACTTATTCGATATAACTTCCCTTCTTTGAGCGTTGATCCAAACATGGGTATTTCCTCCTTTTGATAGACTTCAAGGATGTGGTTCCCCAATACAAATAATTAATATCTTTTTGAAAAGTGGATAGCCACAAAAATCTTGAAGAAAAGTACCTCATTATCGTGAAAAATACCCCCCGCGCATAAACTTCTTCGACATTCGTGTAGGATATCAGATCGTAGAATTAATCTTAATTTTAGATTGGCACGAAACGTAGATGGTTTTAAAACCATCTACCTCGTCGCAAGGGCAGGCATTTTTGAAAAGTATAAGGCTGATTGTTACTAAATGAGTGTAGTGAAGCTATTCCCAAACAGGCCCATAATTAAAATGAAATATCTAAAAGTTATCAACTTTGTAACATAAGATCCATATATTTCAATGATTATTAATTGTAATTTGTAAACGACTTTATTAGTGTATTATACTCCGTATATTGATAAATTAATTACTCCGGTAATAATCTTATATATCATCATCATCACGAAGTTAAAAAATTCTCCCTGTGTCCCACCAACTCTTGCTCATTCTTTTTTTTGTCTCCCACTATTCATTTATCCTTTCTATCAAAAAACTACTATCACTACTACAGAAATTAATTTTTGAAAACGCTAACGCTAATCGTTAAAGCTATTCCCAAATAGGCCCATAAATAAAATGAAATATCTAAAAGTTATCAACTTTGTAACATAAGATCCATATATTTCAATGATTATTAATTGTAATTTGTAAACGACTTTATTAGTGTATTATACTCCGTATATTGATAAATTAATTACTCCGGTAATAATCTTATATATCATCATCATCACGAAGTTAAAAAATACTCTCTGTGTCCCACCAACTCTTGCTCATTCTTTTTTTTGTCTCCCACTATTCATTTATCCTTTCTATAAAAAAACTACTATCACTACTACAGAAATTAATTTTTGAATCAGTTATTTTTTAGAGCAATTTACCTAAATAGCACTAAAACATAATGACTTTCCCTAAATAGCACTACATATGTTTTTTTTCTTAATGTAGCACTTTTAGTCATTATCCATTAGTCATTATTCAAGTAAATGTTTGTCATTACTGGTCATTATGGACTTTATAAAGTGCTATTTAGGGAAAAAAACAATCTAAGTGCTATTTAGAGAAATGACTTAAGTTTTAGTGCTATTTAGTGAAAATATTTCTATTTTTTATCTTTTAAATCGGTTAACAAGCGATGCAAAAGGTAACGAGGCCATTGGTGTAATTACTTTTTGCACCGGTTGTTCAACCGATTCAAAAAGTGCCCCCTAGAATATTTCCCCTATGTTATAAAATGAGAGAAAAACTACTCAGAGATTAAGATAATAGATATAATATATTTCTGATTTCTTCTCTCTATTAACTCTTCACTCTTCTCTTATTTTTAATGGTAATTACAATGCAGGGATTAAGCCTCTATTTATAGTGGAGAGGCTTAGTATGAATACAAATACAAGTGGGAAGGACTGTACTAAATTGATACTCATCAATGGGTGTCTTAATCTACTATTCTGGAAATTAGACCTGATTAATTGAATAAATGAACAATCATTAATTTCATAACACTCCCCCTTGAATGTTCATTTTTCAATTAATGATGGTACTTCGTGAAATGGGTATAGTTTAGGAACCCATTCTAATTTTATGTACTGCCTCGTTAAAAACCTTGTCAGGAAAAACCCAGTGGGATAAAAACCTGATCAAGGGAAAAAGAGTACAGTTCATAAAATTCTCCCCCTCAGCTTAGCATAATTGACGGAGGCGACGCATGCCAATCTTGTGTACGAGTTCTTCAAATTTCTTTGGGGGCAATGCTTTTGTAAATAAATCGGCAAGGTTCTCACTGGACTTGATTTGCTTGATGTCAACCTTTCCATCTTTCTCAAGATCATGTGTTGAGAAGAACTTTGGTGATATATGTTTTGTTCGGTCTCCTTTGATGTAACCTCCTTTCACTTGAGCAATGCATGCAGTATTGTCTTCATATATAGGAGTTGGATGACTAGTAATTGTTTCTATACCGCACCCGCTCTGGATATGTTGAATCATTGATCGCAACCATACACATTCTCTACCTGTTTCGTAGAGAGCTATCAACTCCGCGTGATTTGATGATGTGGCAGTCAAAGTTTGTTTCATCGATCTCCATGATATTGCGGTATCTCCATAAGTAAACACATATCCTGTTTGAGATTTTGCTTTTTGCGGATCAGACAAATATCTTGCATCAGCGTATCTAACAAGAGTGGCCTTGACATCTTTGCGGTAGAATAAACCAAGGTCGATGGTACCATTGAGATATCGCAAATATGTTTAATGCCATTCCAATGCCTCCTAGTCGGGGTCGAGCTGTGTCTGGCTAACAAAGCTCCAATAGCACTATTTGGCCGAGAATGCAATATTTGGCCGAGTGTTGTTTGCTAGATACATCAAAGCTCCAATAGCACTCAGATATGGTATTTCAGGACCGAGTATTTCTTCATCATATTCACGAGGTCGGAACGGGTCATCATGTACATTGAGAGAGTGGACAACCATCGGGGATGTGAGAGGATGTGCTTTATCCATATAAAACCGCTTCAAAACCTTCTTCGTGTAATTTGACTGGTGGATGAGTATTCCGTCTTTCAAATGGTCAATTTGAAGACCAAGACAGAATTTTGTTCTCCCAAGATCTTTCATCTCAAATTCTTTCATGAGATAATTTGCAGTATTTTCTATTTCATCAGAAGTTCCAATGATGTTTAAATCATCAATATATACTGCAATAATGGCAAAGCCTGATTTAGATCTACGGATGAAAACACATGGACTAATTGGATCATTTTTGTATCCTTCTCTGAGCAGATATTCACTGAGACGATTATACCACATTCTGCCAGATTGTTTTAGTCCATATAGTGACTTTTCCAATTTTATGGAAAACATCTCTCGAGGTTTTGAACTATAAATCTCAGGCAATTTTAGCCCTCCAGGAACTTTCATATATATGTCAGTATCGAGAGATCCATATAAATATGCTGTCACTACATCCATTAAACGCATTTGAAGCTTTTCAAAGACAGACATGCCTATTAAAAATCTCAACGTAGTTGCATCAACTACTGGGGAATAAGTTTCGTCATAATCTATCCCCGGGATTTGAGAAAAACCTTGGGCAACGAGTCGGGCTTTATATCTCACAATTTCATTTTTCTCATTGCGCTTGCGCACAAAAACCCATTTGAAACCAACTGGTTTCACGCCTTTTGGCGTAGGAACTATAGGCCCAAAAATACTTCGTTTTTCAAGTGATTTCAATTCTGCCTGAATTGCTTCGTTCCATTTTGGCCAATCATGTCTACGTCGACATTCATCAACTGAAGTTGGCTCAATGTCATCATTTTCATCCATGATGTTTGTGGCAATGGCATATGCGAATATATCATCAACATGAACATCTTTTCTGTTCCATTGCAATCCCGTAGAAACATAATTTATTGAGATTTCATAATTATCAACGTTTCTATCTTCATCTGAATTATTCGCATCTTCAGAGATTGTTAAATCCTCATTTGAAACAAATTGTTCGTTGATATTATTTTTTATATCAACATGCTCGATTTGTTCATTTTCTTTCCTTGAAGAATGAACATCTTTTGTTTCAAATATTGTCTCTTGCCTTTTAANTAGCATTCACCACTTGGTTTTGGCTTTTCATGAGTTTTAGCCTGTGGTGGTTTGAATTTTCCTTTTCCCTTGGAGGATGATTCATTTGAATGTTTATATCCCCTATTTGGCCCTTTGTTGCGGTTATTTCCGCGTCCACGTTTAAAGTGTCCGCGTGCACCACCTTGAATAACATTTGATTCTGGTGCTGAACCACGATCAGGATGACCAAAATTTGTAGGGGTACAACCGGTGGGCCTCATGTTATGATTTTTCATTAAGAGCTCATTATTCTGCTCAGCAATAAGTAATATTGAGATTAACTCAGAATACTTTTTAAACCCCTTTCTCTGTATTGTTGCTGTAATATCACATTTGACATATGCATGGTGGAAAAAGTTTTCTCCAACATGTCATGATCTGTGATATTATGTCCACATAATTTTAATGTGGACGTGACTTTGAAAATAGCAGAATTATAGTCACAAACAAACTTAAAATCCTGGAATCTTAAATTGATCCATTCATATTGAGCTCTTGGCAATAGGACTTTTTGTTGATGTCCATATCTCTCTTGGAGATTATCCCATAATTCCTTCGGATCGTCCACCAATAAATATTCCAATTTTAAACTTTCATGAAGGTGGTGGCGAAGGAAAATTATGGCTTTTGCCTTTTGCTGAGATGAAGATGTATTATTCTCAGCAATTGTATTTTCGAGGCCATTAGCTTTAAGGTGAGCAAGTGCATCAACCCTCCATTCCAGGTACCTTTGACCGGATAAATCAAGAATGTCGAATTCTCTTTTGGTGATGTTGGCCATGGAATAACTACAACATGATAAATTTAAAAAAAAATTATAACTAATGTTGTACATATGAAAATTTAATTGAACCAAGAAATTGTTCCTTTTTTAAAAAAAAATAATACATAATTTTAAAAAATGCAATGTTTGAAATCCAAAGTATATACGGAGTAGATGATTCCTTTATTAAATCAATCAAGTAAAAGAGACAAGCATATTAATCAAAATAAAAGGTGTTGTACACTTGTACGTCTACTATGTCAGCAAAAAAAATGTTTTTTTTTAAATTCTCCTCACCACAAATTTAAATTTGATTCCTTTTTGAGAACTAATGAATAGAAGAATATAAAACACAAGTTAAAAGTTGTCTGCTTCACCACATACGGAGTACTATATTAATATTTTCTCCCACAGTGACATGCTTTTACTTTGTATATGATTCCTTATACCTTTATTCATGCTATATCATACCATATTTTCATCTTCATTCTTAAACCCAAATTTGAGAAAAAAAAAATCTTATAACGAGAGAAAAGGATAAAAAAAAATAATATTATAAAGTGAGATTATCTATTTCTATCAAAGATGTGTACAAGAAGAATTCAAGAGTAGCAGGAAGGTAAGTTCATCATATCTTGATTTTAATGATATTTTTTTCTTTCAAGAACAGTCTTTATTTTAAAAAATAATTTTTTTTAATCTTAAATAATTCGTATTAAATCAACTCTTTGTTTTTAGTTTATTAAAAAATGATTTTTTTTATTATTATGAGGAAACTTCTTCCTTTTAATTATCTAATATTAATTTTATAACTATAAGTTTCTGATGTGAAGGATCCCAACTTTGGGCAATCACAGAGCATACTTCTCATAGTTTTTAAGAAAATATTTTAATTTGTTCATGAAGAAAATAAAATAAATATACCTTCTGAGAAGAACAAGGATTCTGGGATTTTGAGCAAATTCGTGCTGATAACGTGTTATAAAATGAGAGAAAAACTATTCAGAGATTAAGATAATAGATATAATATATTTCTGATTTCTTCTCTCTATTAACTCTTCACTCTTCTCTTATTTTTAATGGTAATTACAATGCAGGGATTAAGCCTCTATTTATAGTGGAGAGGCTTAGTATGAATACAAATACAAGTGGGAAGGACTGTACTAAATTGATACTCATCAATGGGTGTCTTAATCTATTATTCTGGAAATTAGACCTGATTAATTGAATAAATGAACAATCATTAATTTCATAACACCCTAGTAATTTTTATTATACCTATAACATCATATTTATTAACTAATATTCATCACATCAAACATTATTTGGAAAAATCAATACAAAAATATACGTATCTTAAATCTCATAAAAATCAAAACAAGGGCTTTGTGTGATATATGAAGTATTAAAATTATTATAATAATTTTAACTTTAGTTTGAGTCTGAACAGATTAGATCTATTCAGATCTAATAAGATCAGATCCAATCGGATCAAATTAGATAGGATCGGGTCGAATAAGAATATAATTAGATCTAGTTGGATATGCAGATCGACCCAATTAGAGAAATTAGACAAGACCTAAAAAATTAGACTCGGATCAATAAGATTTGGGGAACGAAACACACTCTTACTCCATTCTCCCTCCAATCTTTTTTCAATTATCTGTTCATATTATATGTCAAACGTTTGACTAAGTGTATATAAAATATATATATATATATAATGAACTAAAATATAAAAATTAACTAAATTGTTGGTAACAAAAAATAATTCACAAATTATTATGGTTTCAAAATGTTGAACAGGCACCGCCTCCGATTATTTTCCATTTACTTTTCCAAAGAAGAAGGGGTCATTGGTGCCTATGTTTCAAACTACGTGGGGTAATAAAGGCCATTATCCCATTTTCTATTTTTTTTAAATTTATTTTGACACATTATTCTTTATAATATTTTAAAATTTCAATTTTTTGTGAGAAATAATTGAAATAAAGGTACACTGTCATATATTTTAGTTATCTCAAGTTAAAAAATTTCAATTTTTGATTTCCAAAATAAAAAGAAAATAAAAAAGAGAAACAAATGGAAAAGAGGAAATTAAAGAACAAAAAATGCAAAATATACTCTTCTTGAAAAGGTAAAACATAGACATGAAAAATTCGCTTATAAGGTTAATTTTGAGGACGTCCAAAACTTAGAACTTTGTGGATAACATTTTTCAGGAAAACAAAAAATAATAGGGATATTTTTTGGACCGACGGCCAACAAATTAAATTTTAAAAAAAAATCCTCTTTTTATTTCTTAAATTAGAAAACTTTTTTATTCGCACTAAAGGTATGCATTTTCTTTTTCTATAAGTGTATTTTTTTCATATATATTTTCTATTCTATTTTTTTAAATTTTCTTTCACTATTCCTTGCTGTCTTTTTAAATGTTTCAGAAAGTTTTTATTTTTATTTTAAAAGACAAAAAAAATATAGACAACCGGCGGCGACCGGCGGCCGGCGGTGGCGACCGACGGTGGCTGCCAGAGTCCGGCGACGACAGCCAGTGGGGGCTGCCGGGGTCCGGCGATGGCTGCCGGAGTTCGGCGACGGCGGCGGTGGCAGGCGACGGTCAATGCTGGCGGTCAACAGTCAAAGTCCAGTCAGCACCCCTTCATTTGATTTTATTTTTTCAAAAAAAATTCAAAGTGTTGAAAAAATATGGTGAGCTTTGCCTTATAGTTTGGTGAACTTTGTAGCTGTCTTTGGTGAGCTTTGCAGTGGCCAGTGGTGAGTTTTGTGTCATCTGACCGAAGCATGTCATCTCACCGTAAGGTGTCATCTCACTGGAGTCAATCCTATATATATATACATATATATATACATACATACATACATACATACATACATATATATATATATATATATATATATATATAGATAGATTTTGGTTCTGGTGAGAATGCGATCTTAGGAGAGAAATGAGAATGAATCTGGTGCTTTAGATTGTGCGATCTAAGGGTCAGGATTGCATCAAAATTAGATGCAACAAAATGATTTAAAAATGCATCACGTCAAAATGCATCATAATCCTTTCGAAATGCACTATCTCAAAATCTGAGCGCAGGATGCAATCTGAGCCGCACGATGCATCAGATCCAACGGCTAGATTTCATTCTCATTTCTCTCTACAAGGTGCATTCTCACAGGAACTGGCCCATATATATATATATATATATATATATATATATATATATATATATATATATATATATATATATATATATATATATATATATATATATATATCAAGGCTCTTGGTTTCAACAATCTTTCCACCGCTCTTTTAATGGCAAATCTTAAAGGGACCTTTTTCAGCATCCTTCTCAATGGTGAACCTACAGGTTTTTTCAAAATGGAGAGGGGTGTTAAGCAGGGAGACTCTCTCTCCCCTCTATTATTCATTCTCACAGTGGATGGATTCAATAGACTCATCAATCAGTAGATGGACACACATCACCTCCTCAGATTCAACTCAAGACAGGTCCCATTTCCTTCACACCTTATTTATGCCGACGACATTATGATTTTTTCCAGGGGTGATACTAGAAACTTCCTCAAGCTTAAAGCCACTCTTGATACCTACCTCAAAGCATCAGGCCAAGAGATCAATTTACACAAGAGTAAATTCTATACCTCAAAGAACACTCCTAACTCCTAGATCCAAAATATAGAGAAAGCTCTAGGAATCAGTAGAGGAAAGCTGCCTTTCACCTATTTGGGAGCACCAATATGTCGTGGGATTTTGAGAAAGGAACACTGCAAGGACATTCTGGGACATTTTGAAAAACATATCCACTCCTGGTACAGCAAGACTTTAAATCAAATAGGCAGGTTTATCCTCATCAAACATGTCCTTTCTTCCATTCCCTTACATATCATAGCTGTGCACACACTTCCCAAATCCATTAGCCAAACCCTAACCAAGTACATGACTAACTTCCTTTGGGGACATAAGGATGGTGCACAGAAATACCACCGGATAAGATGGAGCCAAGTAACGAAACCAAAGGAAGAGGGGGGACTGGGACTGAAAAGCTTGGAGGACCAACATCAAGTGTACACACTCAAGCTTTGGTGGAAGGCAAGAAATGACATGGGAATATGGGGACATTATGTGAGAGCAAAATACATGAAAAAAAGCATCATCAAGGAAAAGCTTAAAGACTCTCCCACGTGGGAGAGGATCTGCAGATCAGATGCACTTGCAGCCTCTCACACCAGCTGGACTGTTAATGATATGCTTTGGAATGGAGGTCCTTTCAGCCTAAAGGAAGCCTACAAGGTAGTTCAAGAGAATGGACCTCATTTGCTATCTTGCAAATATATTTGGCACAGCTCAAACATCCCAAAAATCAATATCTTTTTGTGGAAACTCCTCAACGGCGCACTACCTTTCCCACAAAATCTGTGCAGATTTGCATCCTCCCTCCCAAGCTTTTGTCTTTTATGCCAAAACAACAATGAGGACATTGACCACAGTTTACTCCACTGCCCAACTTCGTCGCAGGTCTGGAACAAGCTGGCCACTCTTTCTAATGGACATAGGGTTAAGAAGGACACAACACTATGCCAGTATCTACTTGCATGGTCGTTTGGAAGCAACATCAAACACTTCAAGGGAACCCCCCTTCGGAAAGCACGTAACTCCAGCATCCACAACGATCTCAAACCACCAGCCGAGGGAATTTTCCAAGCATGCATAAAGTCACTACAAGCGTGCCCTGGATAAAGCTTCTCAAAATATATCTCCTGCAGGGCTGGCAAAACCCAATTCTGCTCGTTGCTGTTCAATTAAGAGAAGGGTCGAGTAGGTTTGGAGGAAGGTCGGGGGCGTCGTTTGATATTGAAGAAACGAAGTTTGGGCCCGAAGATCTTCTTGAAGACCATGTAGGTTCCGTAGGGTTTGATAATAAGTGCCTATGGAGAGGGAACCTTTTGTCGTGGTGCGGAATTGATGCTCAAGCTCCATCGTCCGGGCTAGCTTATTGTCATGAAAGAGGTTGCAGATAGATTGCAATAGTTCGAATGCCGAGTTTGTAGTAGATAGAATAAGATCACATACTTCATCGTTCACCAAGGAGAGGATCCAACCCTGAATAAGTGTGTCGAGTTGGAACCATTCGGAGTCATCGGCACTTGACGGGAATGACTTCCCAGTAAGAAAATTGCCCAAGGAGAACCGCCGGGTGAGGAGGAGGAAAAGCCAGCTCCACTTTTTTGTAATTGGGTTCTGAGAAGCTGAGAAGAATAGACACATGGAGCTTCACGTTTGATATGGTTGTGAACGCCAAGTGTGGAGTTGTTGATGAAGAAGTCATGCCAGTGACCGAGGTTTTCTCAGGCATGGCGACGGGGAGAAGGAGGTGTATCGTCGGGCTTGGGAGAAGGGCCGGCGTTTACAGCCGGCGACGAGGGCTGCTGTCCGACGGAAGGAGGGGGAGCGCCGACGCTGCAAGGGGGGCAGCGATGCTAGGTCGGGCAAGAGAAAGAGAGGAACGGAGCTTCTATGGTTTTTGGCTCTGATACCATGAAGAATAATTATTTTCTATGAATAATAACGGAGGGCTAAGCCTCGTATAAATACATACAACAGAGTCCTAACTACAGAAGGAAACCTATACAAAGAAACTACCATGTATACAAGGATTACATAATTAATATTAAATATATACAAATTATATTTAACAGTCCTTGAGTTGTTTTCCACCCCTCATCTAAGTGTAGTTATAATTGATGAGCGTTACGAAGGCTTTAATTATACCTTACCTTGAGTTTTCTCCATTAATGACGGTTTGAAGAACTTGGAGAAGTTGAAGCTTTACCATGCAGGGGCTCCTCTACGTATTTGTGCATGAATGAGGTGGTTGGGGGGGGGGGGGGTT